TGCTATTTACAGTTATTCACTAACATTTGTTTTGCTACACTTTTTATCAAGTCAAGGTCAACCTGACTTGAATTTGTTCGGACTTCCGGACTGCACACCGCACGTGGCTGACGTGAATACAGCTCTCTACTCGAGCTCTGGTCTTGTTCTGGTATTAGCCTGGGAAGGTCGGTTCTAGCTTTCAGCAAGGGATCTGGTATCGTTATTTGAGTGGTCCTCTCTTTTGTTACGGGCAAACGTAACAATTTTAGAAATCCAACACCTAAGTAAACAACACCTGTTTACTGTAACTTGATCCAAATAGATACGTCGCCGCCACTTGTGTCAGAAAAACACAACTAAGACTGCTCTGGATATGCTCGTTATTAAAAAATACCATCGAGGCAGCTGTGGGCTCTCAAAAAACACCAAATATTAATTGATAATGCGTGAACAAGACAAATAAATCCTGGGGTGTGACGCACGAGCGCAACTCACCAGGCGGCTTACTCGAAGTGGCGCGCCAGACAAGTAGAACAACAAAGGGGCAAAAGGCTCACTCCAACCCTGGGCTTTTTTACAGGCGTCAGTAAGAATAAAAGCATACCGTCACAGTGTGCTGTGTGTAGGGCTCATTCTAGCTTATTTTTTTTTCATTGGAGCCAGCTAACCAGCGGCCCATGCTCTACTTTTCAATACCGCGCGATTTACCACCGTCATGTTCTGATTTGGTTTTAAGTCACTAAAAAACGACGTAAAAACAGTTATAGTCATATAGTGAATGGCGTTCCCCCATGTCGGCCAACTCTCATTCTACCTCATCTCGTCGTCTCCACTGGTTATGTTTACGTGTCTGATCGTGAATCACCATAAACTTACCTTTCTTGTCAATGACCATCTTGCCATCCCGATGCCTACACGCATACACTTGCATATCATGGCTTGATGCCCGTTTATAAGTCAATTAAGGCCCTGGGTCCCCAATGATGTTTCGCTTAACACATCAGTTAGTCCACACTTCGTTAAGCAACCCAACACCCATAAATGGTGCTGACGCTTAGTAAACATGTTCCCTGACGGTAACCATTGATTGGCGCTGCTACCACGTTAAGAGTACCCACTGTAAACTGCAATATGTGATCAAAACTGCCCAAAAGGAAAGAGCAGGAGCTCTAACTCGTATTAAGTTGGGAGTTAAGAACGCAAATTCTCAGATGGCTGCACTAATAATTCGACAAACATATTTATAGCGATCAGATTTATGGTGTGAATAGGCGATAAATTATGAGTGCATAGCGTTGAAAGCACCTTTAAGCATGGGGTTGTTGGAGTTCTTGTCATTAATGCGGGTACGCCTGCACTTGCTACACTCAACAGATTTCATACCCCGCCGGTACTCGGCACTTTGTCAGAAGTTAGTTGTCTTGCTCAGTCGACAACTGACGCAACAATAGGTGGTGGCTCTTCAGGTGCTTAACAGATGGGTGTGCCGTTTCACCATCGTTTGTGGTTAACCCCAGTGCAGAAGCACTCCACTCCTACTAACGGGACATTGTAAATGTTTACAATTATATTATTAGGAAAAATAAGGTAAGAATTGTAAAGTTATTAAAATCAAGTCGAATCGATAGTTAAAAACTGTACAAAGGTGACGCCGAGGGACTGCTTTTAGGTGTCAAATTCACTGGGAAGATTATCGCGCCAAAACGTGTAGTCCGTGTACTCCACGCTGCCTGACAGTTCCTGGTATTTGGGGGGAAACACAGAGTCCACCATCTCATAGAGAGCCGTGTAGCCCGTGGACAGTTTGAGCCGAGAAGCCGTTTCTATAACACCCTCAGGATTCACTATGAAGATTCGTGAATCGGGGATGCCGATAGCCCGGTAGGTCTCCACGTCGCTCGGGCGGTTCCCAAAACCCGCGAAGAAAGGACAAGGCGCATCGGGATTCTGGTGTCGGAAGAGCTCTCCCAAACGCTTCAAATTGGCAATCTTCAGCACTTGTGGGCGCTTCTGTATGATCTCCCTTTAAGACGAAAGAAATCCCCCTTTTAAATGCCATGCTAACCACGGCTGATAAAACGGAGCATTACCTAGAGACGAAAGGGTTAGCGTCCAAGCGCAGCTTTCTTCGTTTGCAATAATACGTACCACCTAATCGTCCAGTGTTACTAGCATAATGCCGTGTGAGAACCTTCCGCAACGTCATCCAACAGCAAGAGCCAAGTACACAAGTAGAAGAGGCACGAAAGCATTCAGGATATATGGGTAATAGTTGTTTCTATCTTTACATTTGTACTAGTAATTTGGTGACAAGTATCAATTTCTCGAAGACCATTAACGTCCTCAGAACACAGATTAAATTTTTATCTTAGGAAATCATTTATGACCATGAGCATCTGCTCTAAGCAAATGAGCACATTTTAAAGAAAGTACCACTTTTAATTGAGACAAAGCACTGTGATTAAACTGTAGAGCGATGACGCACATTTGAATGGTGATGAGGAGGGAATTTGGTGAGAGGATGATAGGTCCGGCAGGGAGTTTTTCGTTGTCTTGTTCCAGTCCCTCGAGGAAGTTGCGTGTTGGGTTGGCCTGTCCGATGGAACGAGCCGAGACGTACATCAGGCGAAATCCATTCTCGGCGATTCTTTTGTAGAGTTGTATCACTCCGAGGTGGGTCCACTCAAAGCCCACCCAATGCAACACGTGACCCAGCAGATCAGATCTTGGGAAGAAAGTGGACTGAATACTAGTTCTCAAGAGGTCAATTCCCTGTCAGCGATACGGTAACATTGACCCATTATAATCGATAATTCTTACACAAAATATGTGCACTGTAGACCTGTTAAGACTTCCAGCCACACCAAAGTCCTTGATATTTAAGTTACAATTTATTTGTCTGGCATATCTGCTCCGTATAAATGAATGTGTGTACATATTGACGTGAAACAAAACACAAAATCAACAGAATTTGTTAACTCACTTTGTGATTGTGCCATCAATATCGGAAATTACGACCTTGTCAGATGAATTCCACACATATATGAGGCAAATACAAGTGCAGGTACCCTGATACTTGTTCGTTGTGGTGAACACTGCCTCGTTTGTCCCATCAACAAGGTTTAGCCGTTTCTAAAGTGCAAGTTAACCGCCACATGTTACTTGAGTTTCGAATACGACAATCCTTTAGCACAATACGAAAGCAATCATTAGAGCATTGAAGGTTAGTTGAAGCAACAAAATGACACGATTTTAATTAAGGACGTGAGGCGTAACAGTCAAACGGAGTGCTATAGGCACTTGTAAATCGTACGGTGAATTGCTCAATGGGCGTCAACACAGACAAGTTCTCCTGTATTTAAGTGTGTACAAATGGCATGGATATTGCAAAACTTTGCCAGATATGTCTAACAGAGTACGTATAACACGCACACAATTATCGCACGACCACACAATTTCAATCAGCAAATGCTGATTACTAATTAACCTCAAAGCTGTGTGACTTACGAGGTCCTCTGAGGTGAGATTGAAGGCGCGCGTGTGACCAGCCTTTTCCCATTGGCGCGTGAGCCTCCAGTTGAGCCTCTCTTCCAAATGGGCCTCATCGTCGGAGTACTTCGGTGAGTGGCCGTCAGAAAAGTAGGCCCGCTCCCTCGGGGAGGCCGACAACGGCGGTGTTCCGGGTAAGGAACCGGGGTAGTTTGAGCTAAAAAGGGAATCGGGATGATAGGACAGTCGTCGGTCAACTGTCTTGCAATTATAACTAGCTTTGCTTTTTTCCCCGACTACTAACTTCGTGAGGATTACCTCTAACAAACGCTTTTAGTTATTGATTAGTCACCACCCTTCCAGTTTAGACCCGCGGTGCTTAGCTTACCCGAAGGGCACTCTGATGTGCGGGCGCGATTCTTCCTCGTCATTAGATTCCTTAAGGGGACGAAGAAATACGGACTTGGAGTTCTCAGGGCGTTCAGATTGATCAAATTCAAACTGCATTCCATCTTGATCAGGTCCTTCCAGCGTTGACGGACATTCCGGGAGCAGAACAAAGGCCGGGTTTTGTCGGTCCACCTCCATCAATTTTGACTCTAAAGCCTTCCAAAGACATTCTTGGCGTCAGATTAAAAGAAAGGAAGTTTTTCAATTGCTATAGCTTGTAGTAAAACCCTTTAATTCTGGACACATTCGATTGTACACGAGCAAGGAACTCTCGTATCTAACACTATGCAATAGGATCAATCGGTTACACTAGGCCAATGGACCCATACGTCAGTAGTTATGTGACCAAAGTAAATCAGTCATATTTCATACCACTTGTAGGAATATGAGGTAAAAAATTTAATGTGCTGGGCTTTGCTTGGGAACTTAATTACATTCGTAAAACGTGAGAGGTGGTGTGGATTTTGCACAAACTGTGGAGCGCACAGTGATTGCAGTGACTGGCTCCGCAAGGGCCGGACGTGCCAACAGTTTGCTGTAAGTGGGACGGATGCAATCTGTCGTCCTGTTAAGTTGTCATGCGCAGATAGCCACAAGCCTCTTTCACCTCCACAGCCTTGACGTTAAAAAAACAGAACATTTTTTTATGAAACAATAGTGAATTCACGGTAGCACAGCGGTACCTGTGGCAGAGCAGTTCCGAGATTACGCAAGAGCCGAAGTTTGATGTTGGCTGTCTTCCAGGAAAGCCATTTGTCCTCCCAGTACACCCAGACATTGTCATTGGCAGAGCGGACGTTCGGTGAGGCTGCCTCGCTCTGTTCGTCTGTGAGTGTGTAGATCTGGATTTTGCTTTGATGCGACCCTGATGTGTCCTGATTCCACCATCGTGTGTAGGATTCGAATTCACTTTAATAAAACAAAAGGTAATGATAACGATAGATCAGAGAAACAGGCTGGTAAGAATGACACACGAGGGGGCGTTGATATCGGTATTCAACGAACGCAGGTTCCATCAGAGTACCCTGAGTAATGGCAGCAGCTAAACAGAGTACTACTTTTTGTTCACTTAGTAACACCTGGTATCACGCATACAGGATAGCCCAGGTTTGCAAGTAACTGGCCATGGAACGATGTCTTATCTGTGTAATCAATGGTGGTTTATATTATGAAAATTTGTTGTAAGATCGCGTATTAGGACTTCGTTCCATCTACTTGTGATTTCTACTAATAAGTAGGGTTTGTTTACATCAAGGTCAAACAAAGGCTCGTCTCAAAAAGACCAGTACAATGTGTGTGTGTGTGCTATCATTGGACACTTCGGTAATAGTTCACCATTTAGTGCATGGGATTGCGTGTCATAAGCAAAGAAGAATCGGAAAAACACGAATTAATAAAAATACAACCGACGTTCAAGTGCAGAGATGTCCAGCACAAACCCCTCAAAATGCAGCAAACTAAGTGTGCAGTTTCGTGTCTGCACAATGAATGAATCACACCAATGAAGCCACGATATGAAGCTAAAACAAAGGAGTCCTCGTATATTTCGTACCTGTTTAGTATGGAGATTTACATGGGTGAAAGTAGTGTCAGAATAAATAGTATACTTTGTATTAATCTATTTCAGAAAATGATTCGCTTGAGAAGAAATCAATGGCCCGTATTGGATGTGCGTGTGTGCGTGTTTGGTAGTGCAACCTCTGATGCCCGACTCGAAAACGAACTAAGCTAATTTATGAGAGCTTCTTGGACGCTATGTAACACAATTTGATTGTTAAAGACCTGTGAACCTGAGAAGATATGTAACAATGAGCAAGTTACATTACACCCCTGTTATGCGTCGACACCCAAACAACCAGAGAATAAATAAGGCGGCAACGAGGGCATCGGAGTTAGGCGAACACGACACCCATTCACCCGCAAAGTGTGATGAGTTATCGCGCGCGTGCTCATGTGCGTGTGTTTTAATAGAGGGCTTGGAACAGAGACCAATGAAAGGCGACGGTGAGCCACAGATACCAATCAGCTTCACGCAAACCTTTTCCGACAAGCTTCTACTTACGCGCCTCGGCACATAGATTACTCATCTTGTCGCCATGATTGCTTTTGGGGAATTCTGAAAATCTAAATCGAAGTCCAATGGAAAGGCGGTAGTTTGATTCCTTAGTGGCTTATGCCGCGCATACAACGACCTTGTTTAATAAAAGATTTCCAACAACAAATACTGCCGTGTGACTTACTGGTTCCACACATCCAAACACACGAACAATAAACAAAAGTTTATCATCGCTTTGTGCGGACCCTCGGGCTGTTAACACATCGTAAAAAGGTAAATGGCATCTACGATGATTTACGTTTAATGCAATCATCCGGTATTTGTGGCGGCATGTTGTAACACAAAAATTGATCGATTTCGCGTCCCGCAATGGCACATGACACGAAGATGAACCGACATAAGATGACGCCTACCAGAGCTAGTGGTATAACCAGTCAAGACCCATGCTCAAGGCAGAGGGAAACTGTTAGCATGTTTGGGGCTCAGACCCCCAAACCTCAAGCCGGCGTCAACCGCCAATTAGTTGTGTAGATAAATTTAGGACATTAATTCATCAAAAGCAGATATTGCTTCTTTTCAATCGAATGACAAAATGTATTAGTTTGTTCAAAGGCTTAAAGAATGACATGTAAATACCACATCTGGAGTTAACGTGCATTACCATTCGTTTCTAAAGTTTGACTGGCAAGTATTTACTAGTAAGTGTACCTGTAATCTGCACTCTGCAACAGATTCGGAATGGATTGTAGAAGGTCGTCTTTTGTAGGTTCGGTGGCGGAGTAGTTGGCAGGTTGAGTGGCGACGGTCGCGTCCACGTCTGCCGCCGCCACAGCCGCTGGCGGGTGGACTGTCGGAGGGGAGTAGCATGTGTCGGAGGTTGGGGGACTCTGGCCTGACTGGAAATCTGCTCAAATAAATGTCGACAGTTGACCATAAAAAGTGGAATTTGAACTGCTTCGAACACGGCAATCGTGTCTTGTGGTACCCAAATACGAGTCATCTTTCTACTAAAGGTAACACTGACGAGCAGAAAAAGGCCTTTTGGCTTGAGTTTTCGAACTACGCAATACTCGTTCCTAAAAGCATGCTCATTAGCTGCGTGAATGATGCAAAATGCTTAATTTTGCAAAACGTTCATGTGCAAAAACGTGACTCTTTTGACAAACGGACTTTCACATGTTCTGCGTATTAATTGCTCTCTTGGTAGTAAACGGGAATGACCAGCATCACTTCTCAAAACATAACTATTTGAATTATTTTACGGGAGTGCTCTTTTCGAGCAGGGATAATTGATACCTCACCGTCACAATCAACTTGATACCGCAAACATTGTATAATACTGAAGGGGAGTTTATTATCGCATTGGTTTAGCGTCACTACCGAAACCAAATAACTCAAATGACCTCAAGTCGAAGGAATGTGATAGGCTCTTCCCGTTAACCTGCTTTTCTTTACTCAAATACAGGATTGCTAGTTTAACTGGTTTGGACTTTAAAAAGAACTGATCACTGGATGTGTAGCAGGCGTTATTAAGACACCCAGACTCGCTTCTTCGTAAGTTAATACAAAAACACAGGTAAAAATAGCCCAGGAAAATTGTGTACACAAATCAATCACGCTGTAATGTCAGCCCACAAATATTTCCTAATTGGTTGAGACCAAGTTTTACGTACTTATCTGTCGTGCCTCGATTTAGTACCGTTAACTCTTATTTGAAATATTAAGAATTAATTAACCACACCTACAATTTATTCACGTATTGGAATGACGTTTTAGGCAGTGTTGAGAAATTTTTGGCAGTCGAGCGTCACAACCTTGTGGTCTGCTTGAAGCACATGCCTACGACTCGACAATTGCAAAGTAGGGTAAAGTCTTTCAAATTTCCAGAAATTAGTGAAATTGGTGCCCGAAGTCCACTAAGGTAACTTTAGTGTTATATCTCATAAAAAAAACTGAAAAAATTAACGCACCTAAGTGGATACCAGAGTCAACGTTTGGGGAGTAGGGCCCAAATTCATCGTCCGTCGCAGGATCCTGGGACGAAATATAGGAAATGTAACCGTTAAGCAATATCGGCTATTTTTGCTTAAACGATAAAAATTCGGTAAGAAGTAAAACTGACACCAGGACCCACTGTCCCGTGGCACGACTTAAAATGTTATGTTTCGTAAACACCATAGTCGACTAAGTATCTGCTGTAAATCACGTCCGCACAATGCAGCGTTCCGGCAGGCGCCAGCCTAATGAACAACTGCAGATACGTTTACCTCAATTAATTCACATTTTAATTAATAGACATGTCAGCAGTATAATGGAATGAATTTAGAGCTATAAGCATTCAAATAAGACATAAAAATATTGTGATCTAACACGGGAAACGACATGGCATGGCGTCACTACGCCAAAGGCAGTCACCGTGACTTTTAGACCAGAACTTTTCACAACCTTTGTATTCATGAATGGAACAAAACTCAGCACCTGGCCAAAACGTCTTACAGAAATATGACCATTTTCTTAAAAGGGAAAACTAGTTAACTTATCGAGAGAAATACAGCGTTGGTTTTTAGCCTGTGCCCTCGATTGGTGTATTCGTCACGTGACTTTGTTCAAGGATAAGGAACAAGAGGAGAGACATTAGGTCTGATAAGTACTAGAGTTGGCACCAAAAGGTGGCCTATCTCAGGGACAGCAATTCTGGCTTATGTAAATTTTGCGGGATGTAACAACAATGTTTGTCCCTTTTTGTGGCATGTAAATGCAATCACTTAGAAAGTTTTCACCGTTTGCAGTCACCTGCATTACTTTGCCTTTAGAGTGACGTATTCTCCAAGACAAGCCAGTCCGACCAATTCAAAAGGAATATATTCAACCCAGTTTACACGAGCATGACAACTAAT